AATTTTATTTAATCAATCGATTCGATCTCTCCACTAAATATGGCGTGACTCTATATATGTGAACAAATCTAATCAAAAAGATTTTGTAATTCAACTTTCAAGATTTAACTATATTATTATTACTTTACTTTACCTTTTTTCTTTTACTATTATACATACTTTACCTTCAATCCGGAAATGAGAAGCATTTACTTTAATATCACTTTGCACTAATAAAAAGCTTTTTCTTCTTTTAATTTTGATAGTGGTTCGCGTGCTTATATTTTCACAAAGACGGAATTGCAAAACCATTGCTTTATATATTATTGCAAAACAAAAACTTTATGAAGTGCTTCAAATTGGAATACATATAAAGAATGGGAAAACGATCTTAATTCATTTTCAAACAAAATTTGGAAGTTTGAACAACTGCTTTGTTTCTTTCATTTGCATAATAAAAAGAGAATTTTGTTTGGTACTGAAGTAATTCGAAACATACTTTAACATGAATTTCGGGTCAAGATACTTACTTGAAATGATAAATTCCAAGATTTTTTGAATGGTTAAATCACCCTACTTTCCAAAACTCCAAATATGCAATTTTCTTACACTCCAATTATCATAATCCCGATCATAATGAAATGGGATTATTAGCCACAACTTAAGTGCCAATTTTTGTGAGTTTTCATGCCAAAATAGTGGTTAGGTGCCTTTCAATTTTGATGATATTTTTCATACGAATTTTCACCATTTTATTCTACCATCTTTTTCTCTCTCTTCTAAATGCAAGACGAAGTTATGGGAATTATGTAAAAGTTTGGAAGTTGGTGGGAGTTAAGAGAAGTTATAAGTTTGAATTCTATTCAAACCACTCCCTCCAATTCACTTTAATAACTTGTGGGTTGGATCACCCCACATGGACGATCCACCTATATTTTCTAACAGGTACAAAACCTATTGCTCTTTTAAGTAGCAAAAGATCAACCAGAATTATTAAAAAAATAGAATCATTTAGCAAACCTAAATACTCTTATGAATAAAATTTAATATGCAGTTTTGTCTTGCTAACAAAGGGAATGGTAAAATGATCATTTAGAGAATGATATT